TCTGTAAAGAAATTTAGCCTAGAAACTGGAACTCTAGGATTGGTGAGATTTTTTAGAACACTTCTCATTAAATATAGCAATCCAGAAGGCAAAATGGTTTAAATATGGAAGTTTAAGATGATATCAGAGGAATTCTGCTAGGGCTGCCTGTAGTGACAGAACCCGAGGCTGGTTCCTGTCCTGTTTTCATTTAACATTTTAATATTGAAAGAGATGAACACTCAAGGACTAAGCAGAGAAAGTACTGGACACAGTTCAACATCTTACAGCATCTGGCAAACAAGGGATGAGTTTGCTTTCAGTAGAGCTTTTAAAAGCGTCTGAGAATTCCTTCTTCCTGGGTTGTTTTTAATCTACTTTAAGGGGAAGATACGTGACGAATGTCAGATGCAACCACAGATAAAACTGATATTTAAAACTTACCACATCTCATTGATATGAAAATCTTCAAAAGGATTCAATTTCTAGAATAGTTTCCTGAAGTCTAAGATACTATGCAAGTATAACCTCAGAGGAGACTGACTAATAAGTATAAAATCATAAAGTCAGACTAATCACTTCAGAAACGTTTAGTTCAATTCTTTATACTTCATGTAGAGGAAAGACATTTTATGAGCATAAAAAGCTGCCACTTTGCAGGTATTTTTGTCACACCTTCAGCTGCCTGAGGAATTATCAATGGCCATTTCCATGTAAAGACTGGAATCATTAAAAAGTGTCTCTGTTTCTTTTGATTGTTGATTTACAACAAAGCAGTGGAGTGTACAGAACTGGTGCTTGCTGAAGTAAGCTGCCCTTCAATCTGATATTGCTTAGACTTTTCACTTTTTGAATGTGCTGAACAATGCTTGCTACATTTATGAGTGGCTGCACTGAAGTACACCTGTGGTTGTCAATCACAATAAAGCTTTGGCCTACAAGGCGTTCACAATGCATCGTCATTTTGGATAAATGATAATTAAACTGTATCTGCGTGAAATTTCAGATAGTCAAGCAATACAGCCACCCACACAATACAATATAAGCAATAGGGCTATGTCTGTTAGGACATAACCTGTTCTTAACAGAGTGTTTACTTCTCCAGCCTAATCTTCTCTGTTGTTTCGCTTCTAGTATTTATTCTATTCTGCATGTTATTTTCATTGTCAATTGCTGCAAAGTCAAAGAGTAGACCCATTTACAGATGATTAGTGATGGACCAAAAAATTATCCAGGCATCTATTTTTGGCAGGAGTTTATAATATTCATAGCAAATTCAGTTTCTTCCCCTCCTTACCCCATGATAGAATGAGTAGGTTGTTTCACTTATCAGTCCCAGAAATGTAAAATCAGCCAAAGGGAAGAGGTACCTTCCCTGGGGAAGTGCAGGTGCCTCTTTGTGTGTGTTTGCACTGCTCTGGAGTGGGAACCTTCTCAGTAAGTAAGCAAAGTGCTTCTGCACCACCATGGCAGTCATTTCTCTCCATGGTGCATGAGCACAAATGAATCTACAAGGTGGAAACACTCATGGCCCATGAGTAAATAAATGGTGAGAAAGGCACAATGGCAATATAATTCTCTTCCACAATCTGCTGTTGAGTGGCCAGTTTGGATGAGATGTAACCAGATGCCTTCCCCCTACATATTTTGTGTTCTAGGATTTGGTTCTCTTTGCATACCTAACATGGAGAAGTGAATTTTTTGACATATGGGCAGGCTTGGTAGATCATTACCTGAATAAAGGCAAAAAATCTGTGTGTTTGTTACTGTCTGACTTTCAAAACCCATTCACAGGTGATGATTCAGTATAGACGAGGGCATGAGCTCTGAAGATTTGCCTATCCCTTATAGTCTGTAGTAGAAATCTGTGTAGAGTAGTTGATTGCAGCTGGTGTTTTTAATGGTATTAAGGATAATCAAGTTGTATTGACTTTCTGCTATACTAAACTTTGACTCCCTTATGCCATTTTGAAAATGGAATATAACATATCAGTTATGGGAGACTGGAATGCTGATCCTCATGCTGGGAAAAACTAGGATAAGATGGATTGCTTAAATAACCAGAAAGATATTAAACTTTCCATGTCTTTATGCAGTCCCCTGAGGTAGCAATTATTTTCCAACCTTGAAGAAGTCTGAACAAATGTCTAGGATAAAATTGCAGTTTCAAGAGGTGTGGGAAGTCACATGCAAAACAAACACTTGGACTCAGAGTGTCAAAACATTTTGTTTCATAAGGCTCGATGCAAACTTTTACATAAAGTTTTATGAATGGGGCAATATCAAAATAGCCTGTTTGTCTAGACTTAGTGGTTCCTTGTTAACAATAAGGATCTTTGATTTCAGAAGTACTTATTGCTTATCATGTGATGTGAGTTCATAGTGCTATATTCTCACCACCTACTTATGATGAGTAAGCTTTATAATTTGAGTATGGTCTCATTTTTCCAAATCTGTGTCAGTCCGTAAATAATTCAGTATTCCAGGAGTTTTGATACTGCACTGTAATGTTTTGGGCTTTGTCTCTCTTCATTTTTTTTCTTTTCCCTGTTTTAATTTTTTCTTTTTTTTCTTTTTCTTTTTTTTCATCCTGACCTTGTCAACTAACTTTTAGTGCCAGCAAAAGTATCATTATTTCTAACAAGTGCTTTTCTTAATTGGTTCAATGTAGTACTAAAATACATATTAATATGTTTTCATGTCATTTATTCATATGTGGTAAAAAAATAAAAAAGGAAACAGTAGGAAAAACAGATGATTTCTGAAAAAGGCAAAGTACTAGTTCTGTTATTGGAGAAGAATCAGTTATGTCTTTATTTTGATTCCAGTCTGTTAGTTCCTCTCCATGAATGACCAATTATGATTAATCTTTCCAAATACCGCTTACTTCATAAATCCTGCTGGAGAGCACAGCAGTGTAGCTAAAGTACCATCATGGAGCTCTACCAATAAAGTCACTGATGCAGTTATTATATACCTGCACATATTTTAAATCCCTTGTTGCATGTGTTGAAGGTATGCATTCCTGTACTCTCACATTTAAAATCCTTTAATTAAGGATGCTACACCTTGTCTCCTGCATATATTTAGAATTCTAAAGAGATGCTGTTTTTAAAGTATTCCAGGGATTTAATTGGACCCTTTATATCATATATTAAGTGCTAGATTTCCCTTCAGAGACCTCAAGTTTTTATGTCATGATTATTTTACTTTGTCATTATGGTAACAGGTGCTGAATTCTGGGATGTCCTGTTTCTCCAAGTTAGCTTTTAATAATTTTCTTTTCACGCTTGCTTTTGCAAACTGTGTCTTATTACAGAAAGTGATTCCTTGGTTTGTCTTTACAATTAGAACCTGGTCACCACCCACTGAGTATTTGCTTCCTTTTTTTTTCAATGTCTGAAAGGGCAGCATTGGTGATAGCATGGTTAATTGACCAGTGAAATATTTTTCTGCTTATGTTCTGTTATGAAGGTAATTTCATAACTTTGAAAATATACACTTTTGGGTAAGTGACAACATGCATGGCAAAGATTGTAATGATAGTATTGAACTTTTTGGGTAATGTCAAAGAGTGAAATGCTGATATTTTGATATTCTTTCAGCATTTGTGGAAATTAGTCCAATAATTTTGCCTTGGGCCAAATATGCAAAGCATACTGCTTAGTTTTTCATGATTATTTTTCATGATTTGCATTCCAATAATCTTTGAGCTGTTACAAGTCAATAGTAGTGATAACACTGGTCAAACTGCATTCTAGTTCCTCAAGAGACGTTAGCATTTTTCCCTCTTAAAAAAGTTATGTTAAAACAAAAACAAATAACACTTTTGGTTCCACAGGAGGCATTGTACATCATGCCATAAAGCTGTCTAGGCACTATTCTGACAACTGAAACTTCTGACAACTTTACACTTTCATGAGTCTGAAGATGTATGACTGAGAAAATGATCCTAACCTTTCTTTTCATGTATTGTCTGCCATAACAACTTTTACTGTGTTGTATGTTGGGAGGAAAAAACTACTTTCATATTCCTGGCAGTGTCCTAAAAGACATGGAAACATCAGTGTTCTCCACAATTTGCAGAAGATCTCCTGTTGTCTCAGGACTCAATATGCCCCACTCTGCTATTGCTACAGCACAGGAGCATATACCACAGTTCAGACATACTCACAGCATCAGGAAGCAAACTGAAACAACTGAGCAACTGAAAATGTGCTCATCATTGTGAGTTAGAAGCCCATGTTTGGGTGTCCTTTTTTCAAATCCGAAAGGTTAAATACACTTCAGTATAAAAAAAAAAAAAGTCAGAAATAAAAAGCAGAAGGCTACCTTATTAAATAAGAAAAGTTAGGTTTGAGAAAAAGAATATTATAAGAAAGAAACCTTAATGGCACTGCAACATGAAGAAAACTGGAGATAGTCAAATAATCAGTTCATAAGCAATACACAGTCTAGTTAGATTAGGCAATACTTACAGTGAAAGGGGTTAAAGAAAATAACTGGGAAAATTAGCTTGTATTTCCCACAAAAAGTTACTGATTAAAAATTTAAATTATTCATTATAAACAGGTTGATCAATCTCAAATATGCATGGGCCTTAATCTATTGATTAACATCAAGATTCACTGTTGTTTCAGCAGGATAAGAATCTGACCTAAGAGGACCTAATGGTTTGCTAGCCCATTGTTCAAAACTCAGTATTTTAATTCTGTGAAAGGCTAAACATTTTGTCCTAGTTTCCACATAGCAGACACAGTATATGCTGCTACATGGAGATTAAGAAGTTAAAACCCAAATGCTACCTTTATTTAGTGACAAACAGCAAAGTTACGAAAAGAACAGCTAATGAAGATAGAAGACAACTTGTCAAATTTAATCAGATTTTGTATTGAAGCAGATCCCTCATTACTGCTGTTTCAAGAATTTGATATTTCTGAAGGAATATACTGTGATTCTCAGCAACACAATTGCAGATGATTTTATCAGGATTTACTTAGTGGGATTTATCAGAACAGTACCTTTCTTTTAGCTTTGAGCTGCTCGTGATATTTGTTGGATGTGTCACCTGGTATTTCTCCTCCCCAGAGAGTAATTCCCACCATGGAATAAGTGACGCCCATGACAAGCAGTGGAAAGCAGTAGACCAGCACAATCACAAAGATATGATACCTGCAATGAAAAAGTATTAAGGTGATAAGCGCTTTCGAAGGAGCTGTACCAATGGAATGGGCTGCTAGAAGTCAAGAGTGCTACTTTTAGCACAAAGCATCTTTTATATTGACTGGCTAGTCCTTGGTGTTTTCACTGTCATTTTGAAAGTCTTGAACTGCACTACAAGTTTATTTACATTTAATGCAAGTGCTTTATGGGGTGTCTAATGCTGAACCTGCACTAGCATACATTAAGAATGATAACTCTATAGTTATCAGGACTAGTGACTGCTGAGTAAGGTATAGTTGTCCATAACTAGCTGAGTTGATTTAATTGCTGCACAGCCAAGCATCATGAGGGCAAGCTAGGCATTTGGAGCTCTAATCTGGACCGTAAATGAAAGAGGAAAATAAGGATTTTAATGGTATATCGATACAAAGGCCCTGATATGTGTCCTGTTACCTGCCATTCTTCATATGGCATGTCTGTTGCACATCGGCAGCGCAGGTCTGTAGCCTATGTGCAATGTAGTCATCACTGCTGATGTAAGCACTGGGAAAACAAACATAATTTCTTTTGCCTCCTGTTAGTTCCTGGTTAAATGCCAACTTCAGATAAAATCCCAGTGAATGATCAGTGAAGAATCCCCAGCTGTCACTGAGAGTGACCTTACTGCCCTAAAGAGAAATGTCTGTGTATGGCTCCTAAAGTGATAAAAATTACATATGACTGGGGCCTCTTTCACCTGCCTCAAAGAGAGCAAAAGGTCAAATTTGATTCTAGATAGTTACACAGGCTTTCAGCCTTGAACACAATGTTCGTCTTAAATGTCAATGAAAACATTAAAGGAGAGATGGCTAGGTAGCCACTTATTCCTAATTCTACCGGAGGGACAAACAGGATATTTTGAATTTAATTGACTGGTATTCTCACTTTCAGAAGCTGGAACCAATTATAAGTTATACAGTTTTCTCTTTTGGACTGATATCTGACATAAGTAATAATGTAACAGAAGGAAGTGGGAAAATCCAGCCCTCTCATGAAGAGATCTCGAAAAAAAACCTGACTGGGGACCTCTCATTCTTTACTATCACCTGAAAGGAAATTGTTGTGAGATGGGTGTTGGTCTCTTCTCCCTAGTAACAAAAGAGGAAATGGCCTCAAGTTGTACCAGGGGAGGTTTAGGTTGGATATTAGGAAAAATTTCTTCATGAAAAGGGTTGTCAAACATTAGAATGGGCTGCCCAGAGAAGCGATTGATTCACTATCCTTAGATGTATTTAAAAAATGTGTAGATGTGGCACTTAGGGACATGGTCTAGTGGTAGACTTGGTAGTTTAAGGTTAATGGCTGGACTCGATGGTCTTAGAGGTTTTTTCCAACCTAAATGATTCTAAGGAGATAATAGAAATTTTTTTTTTCTGGTTAGGATAAAAAGGAAGCTTGCTTGGAATTATGTTCCCATTTCTGACCATCTCTATCTGTATAGAAGTAGCCATCTTAAGTGGAACAATGATGCTAAATATGCAGCATGAGGTGGAACGCACTCATAAAAGTGGATGAGAAAAAATGTGTTCCACTTATCACTTATAATGCTCTATTTTCCTTGCTTAGAAAACTGGCTTTACACTTCTCAGGGACCAACACTCTCAGTTATTCTGCATGTAGAGTGTCTGAATAATACTATACAGATTATGCCAAGCCAATTGCAAGTCTAGACACCACCATGCACAAGTTTAAAAGAACAAAAGCTTACGTAAAATGCTGTTTTGGACCACCTGGCCATGCTACATAGCAAAGAGTTCTCCCAGGCATCACCTTGGTTATGGAGTATAGGCACTGGGGAAAGGCCAACAGGAAAGCCAAAATCCATATGCTCCCAATGACCACCTTGGTAGCAGTTGCAGAGAGCCTGGGTTTCAAGGGATCAATAATGGCCATGTATCTGTAAAAAAAGCAAAAACCTCTGTGTAAGAAATCTTCAGAGAATCATATGTATCTAGAATGAGCCAAAGCTTAGGATTAAAGTGAAGGATAAAAGCAGAGATATTTGTCTTCATGGAGTTCTGATTGCACTGTGGTCTTTGGGTGGTTCAGCTCCAATGAAGGCAGTGCTGGAAGGAGAAGAAGGTTCATTGAATATTATTTTGCAGCCATGGGACACCCTTTTAATCATATGTATATCAGTAGAGCAACTGTTTTGCAAAGACATATATCCTAATTGTTACAGTACACATGTAGGTTCTTGGCACACTTGCCCAAGATTTTTAGGTATAGACATTAGCCACAAGACAATAACAATACTATTCATAGGATAATGATCCTGATAAGAATTGGTGCAAGAATCTTCTGCATCCATGTTTACCTGCTATGCCACACAGATTTCATTCAAGATATTTCTACTTTTCGGAATTTTATACTTGAGAGATGGGTAATTATGGAACAGATGTTTGTTTTAGTGAAGGTAATTGTTTATAGTTAACTATAAAATATGTGATAAATTCAGCATCCATACCTAGAATTTCAAGCTTATATATTTCTTATGTTTTTTACTGCACTTAGATATTTTTTTCCCCACAGGGTAATTAGTTACCCTCTCCTTTACATGCCTTCTTTTTTTTTCCTTCTAAACTGGTGCTTTTGGTATTACATACTAGTTATTAAATAGTTTTATTTTAGTGCTGGGTGTCTTGTCCTGAGAGACCAGAAGTTCTCATGAAAATATACATCAGTTGGATTGTAGCCCTCTGCCACCTAGCTCCCTTCCCCTCCAAAGAGTAAGTACAATGTGGTAATGAACTGAAGTTTGTAGTCATGAGACCTGTCTTTGAAATTGAGCTGGTTTTTGTGTGGACTGCCAGGTACTGTCCAAATGCTTGATGATCTTTACCTGTAGTAGGTGATAAACATAAACAAATCATCATTTTCACATGCTTGTGGGACTCTTGAGGCATCTCCTTCTAGCCTGGAATTATTCCTTCAATTACTAGTTTTCTTCAGATTGTACATTGCCGTTATTTCATGCACTATTGTCAGATTTCTATTACATTCACATTATTCTTATTCCCAGTTATATTATTCTTAATCCCAATAGATACCAGCAGTAATTTGTGTTGCTTAAGATAAAATTCAGGGAGATAAAATGTTTTATCTTCCTGTCTGCTGTCTGCCCTTTAAAGACATGGATTGTTTGTGCGAAATGACTCATATCTCTGTAGTGATGGAAATTTTAACAATTGGCTGAATACCGTAAGTCAGAGGACAAGGATCAGATGAAAAGCAGACTATTTATCTTTCTAGTTCAAAATTGAGTGATAAGCGAACAGCCTGGCTTTTGCACAAGATTGATTACAAAAATGTAGCAGATAGTCATTCTGACAAACCAGATGGGAAGGAAGTGGAGGAACCTTGACCATTCCCTCAATAATGCCTTTGTGCAGGCTAGGTTTAGCTGAACAGAATATTGACAGCCCTCTATTACAGAGCCTTTGATAACAAATCTAAGTTATTCTACCTTGCCGGTACACTAGCAATTACAATGAAGTATCTAACTTGTTCTCTAAGTGGCTTTTCTTAGAAGCAAAATTACTTAATTAACATAGTGAGATATTGCTTTATAACCGCAATTGTTACACGCACTCAGATTTGTCATATCAATCTGGTAGCATTTTCTTAGAGAAGCCATCATTGCCACAACTAAGGGTAGTAGAAAACGTGCAATGACTCTGAGATGCAGGTTAAAAACCACCTCTGTACTTGAATTGTCTCTGGATGTAGATTTCTGTAGCCAAGAGAAGCCCCAAAAAGAGCTAAGTCCTTCCTGCACTGTTAGCTGTCATTTGAAAGGAGACACAGCTACTTCTACCTATAATTTTGTTTGCTGGAAATGCCGTTACAGGTACCTAAGGGTGATAAGTTGTCTATCTCTTTAGCCTCAACCTGAAGTAGCAGTAGCTAATTTTTCAGTTGACCCTTGCCTTTGATCTCTGTCCATTCATCTAGAGTGTTTCTGTCAGCAATGAGAATTTCTGCTAACACAGGCTAGAGGTTGCATTCTTAGGTGTTGCTCAAAAAATCAATAAGGTGAGGAGTCTAGATATGGGATAATGTATATGTATGATGCAGAATATTGCCCTTATGTATTGCAATTACCCATGGTGTAGCTCTGTCATTAGGGCTCACTTTTTTACTCTGTTTGTTATCCTTACATGTATTATGGATGGCAAAGTGACAGTTACAAGGAGTAGATATGCTGTCTGCATTGTGCACTGAATGGTGCTGAACATGGTGTAGAGAAAAAACGAGCATCTGAGGAGGCCAGGAATGAAAGGGAGAACAATGAGATACGGGATCTAGAGCAAAAGCAAAAGAACTGAGACTGGGGAACAGTTTGCTGAATGCAAAAATAGAAGTGAAATGAGAAAAATGAGAAAAGAGAATTGTAGAATAACAACATATAGAAATTATGTTGAGAGAGGAGAGAATAAGAAAGGGAACTGGGGTGATGAAATGGCAAAAGACCTATGACAAAAATCAACCCTAGCGTACCAGAGATTCCAAGGTAGGTAGAACTGGTATAAAAACAAAACGGTATGACAGTGGAGCTCTGTGGTGGCGAGCTCTTCTGCCTCTGCAGCTTTATGGGAGAGAACTCCCAAAGAGTTATTCTCTCTGTGATCAGCCAACCATAAGCTGTAGGTAGGGGGAACAGCAGGACTTCTCTATGCTCCGATGTCATCTGTCTTAATGACTGTTCTGCTTCTCCGCTGTTCTTTGAAATGGTCTGAACTTCATCATAGGGTCATAGAATATCCCAAGCTGGAAGGGACCAATCAGGATAATCGAGTACAACTCTTAGCCCTGTCCAGGACATCCTCAAGAGTCACACCGTGTACCTAAGAACATTCTCCAAATAATTTTTGAACTCAGACAGCCTTGGTTCTGTGACCACTTCCCTGGGGAGCCTGTTCCAGTGCCCAACTGCCCTCGGGGTGAAAAATCTTTCCCTGATATCCAAACCAAACCTCCCCTGACTCCACTTCATACCATTTCCTTGAGTCCTGCCACTGATCGTGAGAGAGAAAAGTGCCTGCCCCTCTGCTTCCCCTTGTGAGGATGTGGAAGACGGTGATGTGAGGTCCCTCAGTCTCCTCTTGTCCAGGCTGAACAGACCAAGTGACTACAGCTTCCCCTCCAGACCTTTAATCATCCTTGTGGCCATCCTATGGATGCCCTCTAATTGCTTGATGTCTTTTTTATATTGTGGTGCCCAAAATTAGGCAGTCCTTCTGAAGACAGTGACAAGTGCAGAGACCCATAGAGGTCTGCCATGTTCTGTGATATTTATACACATACCTTGGACCTCTCCACACCTCATCTCTAAAGACAGCAAAAGATGGTAGGCATTTGAGCTGAAGAAGGATTTCTAGTGGCTAAAAGAAACTGAAGGGTTGTAATACCACTGAAAAATGATTGTGGCCACACAAACATTTCTTCATTGGGGTGCTGTGCCAATTTGCTTTGCAGCCTTTGGGCATCTACTGTTCAGCCCTCCACCAGGCTGGAGCAGTGGGACACCCTGCTGAATAAAGGGCTCTGAACTTGCACTTGGTTTAAAGATCAGACTTCTAATGCTTTCTCACTCCGATGGGAGTTGCTGGTAATGACATAGATAGCTTGTTCCACTCCATAAAGCAGGGATACTGAATGTAAAATACACATTGCTGAAAGGAATTAACTCATTATGCTAATTTATCACAAGCAGAAATCATTATTACCCTACCCAATATAAACATTCATACTTGGAAGATAATTATAAGATGGAATATGCACATTAAAAAGGTAGTGATGGGAATATGTGCAGGTAGAGACAAGCCAACACTTTGAAGAATGTGTGTTGTTCAATACCATATTCTTCTTTGTATGACTCTAAAACACTTTTAGGTAGCACTTTAGTTTCATCATTAGAATTTTTAGCATGTGATTTTGTTTGTTGTGACCATAAAATATCCCACTGTCACTACTTTTCTTCCAGCTTTGGCTTGTGTTAGTCTTTGTCCCTAACAAATTACTACTGAAGTCAGCAGGAGTCTTTCCACTGAACTTAATGAGAAATCAGTCAGGCTGCATGATATAATGACCAGTGCATCATGGTGTGCTTGCTGGGCCGCTCTTCTTATCTACTGGGGTGAGAACTAATTCCCTTCTGAGCTGCTCTGTTTCTTTAGAGTCTACAATTTACTGTTTGGTACTTGTTTCTTGGGTTTGTCAAATCAAGAAAATCTGTTTTCTCTAAAACGATAATAGAGACTTTGGAATAACATTGATAAAGTCTTTAAGCCAGTGGTTATAATGACAGCATAATCATGTAGCTCTGTTACAGTTTGAAAGTAACGAGACAAGTAGCTGGTACATACAATAAAAGTTTCTGAAGTTTGTGAATTATGGTCCTAACAGTAGAAAAGATAGCCTCCCCCAACTTATCTTTTTGTAGAACAACAGATACTGACTAATACAGTTAGAAAAATCTTTCTTCTTTAACACATAATTTAGTAAATTGTGGCAAAAATACACAAGATGTTATTAGAACAAAATGATGTTCAAAATTGGATCCTACAAATGCCCATTTGGAGATAGAGTTGGAAGCCTTTAATCATCCTAAGTGATTTGTTTCACCTGTTTACAGCATGTTTATAAACTCAAATGGGGGAAAATGTGATCAATTCAGTCCCAGATTGTAACAGGAAATTGGGACTTGATGAAGGAAGAGACTGAGAGAAAAATCACAATGCTTGCATATAAGTGGCTTGTCAACAGCAGACATCAGGGTATGCTTTCTTTGTGAATGCACAGATGCTGTTATTTCCTCCAGACAGAAGCTGATTTTGAAACTTTATATTGAGAATCAACTGGTAATTAAGAAACTTAGGTAGGGAAATTGCTATG